CCGCAGGTGTATGCGATGGGATGATTATAACTAAGCCTCAGCTTAACTGGGTTCAATGCCGATTTGGGCTTCCCAGATCAAACCCGTTGACGGGTGATTGCTGATGGCAAAAAGATCGATAGAACTAGCTGAGAGACAGGCAAAACGAAGGACCCGGATGGTGTGGTGGTGAAGTGCGCTGCTCCCCGGTAAGGATAACAGCGCGTGTTCGTTCCCCACCGCATACACCTGCGGTCTGGAGTTTTGCAAATATCTCAGCATTATATACGAGTTATATTTCGCAACACACCCTACCATTAAAAAGAAAAGGCAGTAAATAAAAGAGCTACAACTGTTTATTGTTAATCACAGAATATCTCAAGGAACAATCGGCAATATCTACGTTCGTTTCCATCGTGTTCCAGAGTTGCCAATGGTTTCCACCTATTCGCCGAGCATGGGCTTTTTTTTTTAGCGTAAAGCGATTTATGCTTGGTGTTCCTAAAGAGAAAATAATCAACGGTGGCTCGTGTGCTTTGCCACAGGAGCATATTTCTACTCATTGCTAGGTTTTCGAGCATATGTCAAACTCATCCTCAGATTGAGTAGTGTGATTGAGGAGCAACACCACCACTAACTATCGGGGTTGGACAACGGATATAAACGCAGAAGAAAGCCTCGATTAGATAGGAAACTATTGCGGAGCAGCTTCAGCTGTCCTTAGTAACTCGTATGTCAATGTTGCAGCATTTGCGTTCTTGAATTTTGTAAATGCAGCTATAATTTTCCCATAGAGTAATGCTCAACCATGTGTTTTCTCTGTACTGTGCGGAATAGGAGAAGCGCTGATGAAAACGGTCAACAGTGGTTGAAAATGGACTTTCAATAAACATCTGCAACAAGATCAATAAATTTACAAATGACTGAGCTGGCGTGAAGCTGGCATAAGAGTTCTATTCGGCTAACGGCCCAGCTTCTTCGCCTTCCTCAGAGTGGCATTAATTCGAGCCGATGGTCCACAGCTGGTTTTTACCGCGATGTCGCTGATCGTTGCCGGAGTGAGTCAAATTAATTGGAAGGAGTTTGAATGATAAATTTATTCAGCGGTGTTTCTTTATAACAGCAGAATGTCGATAGACTAACTGGACAAAAGCTTCTATACTGAGCTCGTGTCAGCTCAATCAAATTCGAATTTATTGGTGAGCAATTCTATTGCGCAGCGAACAATCCGATCTTCGACGTCAAACATTTTCAGTGTATTCTGCGTTGGCTTTTCAAGTTTCCGCCTTTCCAAAAAGTCTAGAAACAAATCAGAGCAATCACAAAGAAACCCTCACTTTTAATGCAGTAGCACTATTCTAATAGCGTTTCACAACTTTTCTTCCTAACGTGATTCTTCCTGTGAAAGTGCAATTTCCTGCAGGAAAAAAAGCATTGGACCTCTCATTTTGAGCTGTAGCCAGTATTTCTGTTAAGTGTTAAGGTATTAATAATAATCTGCTTGCTCAAAAGAGTTATTATTCAGGTGTAGCATGTTCCTGTGGAGCATCTCACCTTCTCATCCATCCAGATAGTGAAGAAAGGAGCGTCGAAGCTAGAGCGGATGTTTTCTAGGGCTGAAGTGACTTAAAGCACTGATCATTTCTTTCATTCCCATAAATTTTTATCTTTAGTCCTAAAAAACGTATTTATCTTGTTTCTAGAATACCTGGAACTTACTCCGCCTACGGTGGTCGTTGATCTACCAAAACCAAGGATACTGCCAGTCGTAAACCATATGCGACTATAATCAGCTGTTCTAAACTTCCTTGGAAGTCACGAAAAAGCGGCTCCGAAGAAGGTGATACTGCCGAAACGTCAGCTAGTGTTGTATTGTATTGTGTTTTTCTATGGAAGTAAATGTATGCTGTTTAAAAACCCCGCGATTGCTGAACAAGAAAACGACGCATTCATTATTCCAATGCCGAGGTTAATAGAAAGTCGATCCTGGGAACTATTACAGCATAAAACGTTATAAAACAAACTTTTCCGCTTTCACTGGTAAACCGAAAAAGGAGGACTAATAAAACCATGGAAATAAACTGGCGTAATAAATAAAAAAAAGCAAGGATAAAGCTTCCAGCGTTGATCAGTCTCTGAGGAATGGGTCATGTAATGCCCATACAATCACTCACCATGATTTACCAATATATTGAATCGGTACTGTTGTCTTCCCAGACAGTGGCTTAGTACCGAATTGCCGAGTGCGAAGAGATGCGAGGCTGGTGGGCCTTGGGCAGAGATCGAACCCATGTGTACTGCAGGACGCCTCTAACAACTGTGCAACACGCGCACTTTAGAACCGTTATATGGACGCTAAATTAAAGAATTCAGTACGGGGATAGCACGGAAGTTATAAGAAAACTCGATAGTGCCGACATTGAACAGTAAATTCAATTTTTCTAGGAGTCGGCGAGATGTTAAGAGAGGATTGTTATTAAAATCACTGATTTTAAAGAAATAAATTCTTGTATCGCCTTAACCGTATATCTCCACTTTATTTAGGTGATATATACTAAACAGTTACCTGCGTAGGAGACGGCATCTCTTCCGACAGGTGAACTACACGATCCAGCTCCGTGTCGAAGGTCAATGTAATTGAAATAATCCAGAACGCTTTAAGAGTTATACCCGCCGATGTCTTAAATTCCTGTGAAAGGATAGTGACTTCTACTTCAAAATCTTTTTTATGTTTCTGTGACCTACGCATCTAATGGTGCGTTTGGTTTCAATTAAGATTTGCGCACGAAGAGTTTTTTTAAGCTGATGCGGAGCGGTCTACCTATTTCGTCGACGTACTCTTCCTCATACGCTTTACAAAGGACCAAATAAGCTGTACCCGAACTCGTGCTATCACGGTCGCTACCGTTAGGGCAAATTGTGCAGCGTTTCCTTGTATACAGACGGTCACGTAGGTGGTTACGAACCAGCAGGTATCTTAGAGTGTCCGGTGGTGCTTCTATCACTTCACTTTTTCACCACGCCAATATTGCACGTCGGAAATTTGTAATCTGTCAGTTTTAGTGTGCTCTTGCTTTTCGCCTATTTCTTTTTGGTGGTTTTGGACCTTCCTGGATTCTCGGAGATGCCTGAATCCGCACCTATTGCAACACTTTCGACACCTGTTAGGAGGGCGCCACGACCAAGCATTCCGAATATAAACAATTTCTCTCCTGCCATAAATGTCACATAAAATGCACTATGTGTATAAATACACAATAAACAGTTGAAGTTCATGATAGCAATTCTTGATTTCGTCGAATTAATTCCATGTTGCTGTCGGTTATCAACTAAGTGGTAGTACAAACTTTCCAGTTCAATGGGAACTTTTCACATTGGATTTAGCTGTTTTTCTATGCCAAATCGAAGTTCTTTACCAGTTTCGTCAATGTATTCGTCACCGAATATCTTGCAAGAAGTGTGGTATGCTGTGGCCGAATTCTCCGTCTTTGCCTTTACAGTATGTGGTGTGGTGTAGGCCGTTGGTAGAGCTCCAAAAAAGGTGAAAATGACGAACAGTTAATAGCGAGCTCAAGTTAACTCAGCAAGGATTGCTCGGGTGTAATTTCACATGTCCTTTCGCTGAGGGTAAAAATCTTACAAAAAAAAGTGAGGATTGCAACAACACCATAGAGAGCGTCTTCATTTTCTTTTGGTGTTTGCTCTAAAAGATTTTCTCGCCTAATTTTTCACTTAATTTCTTTCCTAATGTTTTTTTGAAGAGCTGTTATCTTTTTTAGTTCGATAGATAAAAACATGTGCTCCCACTTCACTTTGCTCAGAATTAATAAAAAATTATTCATTCCCAGAATCGCCTTTCTATTAATTTTGGCATTGGATTATAAATTCAATACAAATAATTGAAAAATTATTTAATTGTAACCGGACGAACACGGCGCAGTTGTTGTAGGCGCCACAGCGACACGCACGTGGAATCGAACCTCGCGCCCATGACCCTCCAAACTTTCGATCGCTCCAGGGTGAGCAAATTGATAAGAGACTTGTCTGGGAGGATAGCAGCATAGGCTCGATACATCGGTAGGCCACCGGTAGTCATTGTAAAGGCCGGAAGGCCGGAGATGCATTCAATCATGTCTAACGATACTTAATGAAGTTGAATGCATGGCACATCCCTCGAGACTTGATCACGCCGAGAGCTTTATCCTTTTAGAACCTTTATTTAATTGTGAAATATAAACATATTCACGATCACCTTTGATTTCATCAACGCTAAAAATTCCGTGAACTCTATGACGCTTTAAACACGGCAAATACTGGCTTTTTTCGATATTGAACGATAAGTTGTCGATAGCTAGATGATAGTAAGGGTATCATTTAAGGCGAAGTAAAATTATTAGTGAACGGAGAAAGGCAGTTACAACTGTCTATGCTTGCTAATTCGGGTACGTGTTTCTACCACCATTAGTTTCATCGAGAACATTTTGTGATCCATCGAACATTCCTAGCTGCGAATTCTTCTGGCTTTTGAAATCTACAAGCCTACCTATCCATCATATCGGTGTCCTTCCTGGAGTACGATTGCATCTTATGTGGTATGCTTTCACGTTCCATTTGTGAGTTGATAGTGGCCTCTCTGCGAGGTCAGAGCGCAGCTCCTTTCCTGAAGTAATCCTCTCTCAGTTTGTTTTCCACGTCCACTGAGTGCGCAAGGCACCGATTCTCATGTTGTCCATAACCAAAAACGACTTAATTCCATTTCGATACTTTTCCATATTAGTTGAAATCGTCGTGCTCGGCATAAATTTCTACGTCGTCGAGTTTTTGCTTAGTTAATAAGAGTTATAGCAAGTGTAAGGTGTTAATTCTTAGAGGCTCCCCCCATTCAAAATTAAATAAATTGCAAGTTGTTCGGGTGATGAGTTTTCCATCCTAGGCAGTAAATACAGTTAAGATTAGAATATATGAATTTATTAGCAAACGGAAAGTACATTCATTAACACCTTTTCTGAGAAATCCTGCCTTCAGATTTCCGAATGAATGGCCTTAGCGAAACCGATACGGTTCTGTCCAAAATCGTAGATGTTGCAATAGGTACGAATCCAAGCCTCGCCCAGAATCCAGTCCATGGTCATAGTTCCGGATGGAATCATGAAGAAGGCAAGGACGCACTGAAAATTACGTGAGCTCCAGGTAGAGAGCACAGCATGAATTGAAAATGTTGAAAGTAATGAGTGATGCACGGATTTATTATATCTTCCTTATGAGTCCACAATTACTAAGCACTAATAGGTTGTTAAACAATGGTGAGTCACTTACTTGTCCGCCTCCAATACCAATATCTAGAACGTATTCCTCTGGTGGTATATTGTATTTTACACAGTTGATAGTGAACGATAAGTCGGGCTGGGTCTTCATTGTTGAACAGCTGATGGTGTAAAACTTGTTCAGTGAGTCGTAGAGTGCACCGGTTTGGTTAACTACTGCTTCGACGATTTCGGTTGGTGCTCCAATCCACGAGGTACCGGTGTCGGAAACTACCTACACATATCCAGTTAAAATTCCAGTGAACTTAGTGTGCACCGTAAACAAAACAAGGCAAACAGCCTATTCATACATCAATTATATGAAGTGCATCATCTCAGTGGCTCTTACGATGCACGATCTTTGGCCTTCAAATATAACACCTGTTTTCTAGAATTACCTACAAAATTTATTGTGTCTAACGTTTTGGGAAGCATGCTTTCTTAGCATGGGTAGGATTCAAATCGAGAGGATTAGAGTACTGAACGAATGGCAATAGCGCCTAAACAGCCGCCCAAGGAAAAAATCATAACGAACTACTGTAAGCTCCGAAATAAACCGTGATATTTATTTCCCATGCTAAGGTCAGATGAATGCTGGTTTTAAAAATATTTCGTCTTTTTGCTTGAAAAATGGATCCGATGGGCTTTATTTCCAGAAGGAAATGTTGTAGTTCACCATTCTTCGTGACGTAGATGAGCCACTAAGTTCCCTTACTTTTAGGAGTACCCCTATTCTGATCCAGTATCGCTGTTAACCCTCGTTAATCCTACCTGTTCGCGTTTGGTCTGCGAAAAGCTTCCAATAGAAAAGCCTTCAATAGCGAACTGCCAGTGTTTTTCATCAGAGAGTGGTACGTAACTGATTTGTGACTGGCAGTTGATGGCGTCGATAGCACCGAATGTGATCAGACCGGCAGTGTTGACTGTCGTAGAGTGCTGAAAGTGAGCTCTCACCAGCACAAAGCTTATTTCATGTGATAAATCAAGTGCAGTTCAACTATGAATAAATAAAATATTTATGCAGCTTTCACTTCAGTGACCACAAAGTCCATTTAAATAAAAATCCATAAAAAAGAAGAAGAAAGAACACGAAAAGAAAAATCTCATAATGCTGGGCAATATTGAAAAATTTGAAGCCGTCCTAGATGTTTTTTTGCTATTTGCACACCGGTATTCCTGTTAATTATAGAGCATCTCTAAGAACATCCGGGTATATTTACGCTCGTCTCCATCACGTTTTAGAGTGAGCAATGGGCCCTGTCTCTTGGAAATATACGAACTTTTTTGTACAGTGCGCTTTAGTTTTGCTGTTCTGGGCAAGAGTTAGGCAATGGTAGCTGGTGTGTTTTCCTAAATTACTTTTACTCTTTGTTAGGTTTTCAAACAAAAATGTCATAGCTTTGCTCAGGTTTGGGAGTTTCGTTGAAGAACAAAACCCATGATGAATATCGAAGTTAGACATCGCATTTAAGAGCGGAGACCGGTCAAAATTAGACAGGGAACCAATGGCAGCAATAGCTATTCTTGAAAACTTGTCTCTCAAATTTGTACGGACTAAACCAACGACTTTTAATACACACGTAATGAATTCTTGTGAAGAGTAAACCGCCGTGTGTATTGGCTAAAACACGCGCTGTTGAACATGCAGAACCTCTACTGTGGTGCCACTAATCTTCTATCCGACGTCCAATGTTTCTAGTGTGTTTTGTATTGACGTTTAAAATTTCTGGCCGTAACATGAAGTTACAGATTTATAAACAAATAGGGTGGAGAACAATGGTGATGGAACCTCGTTTTCAATGCAATTTTACTAATCGAATCATGTTCATCAGCTTTTCTTCCTAACGGCAAGCTGCGTTGACAATAGACAATTTGTTGCAGCGAAAAAAATCCACTAGACGTTTCACTTTCTTTTTAAAACCAGTACTTCCTTCGTAAATAAAGATTGACATAAGGGATAAATTATAAGCCTTTCGGCGCTGATCAATTCCAGAGGGTAGCTTCAAGCATTCGACTTCATCAAGCATTACTAGCGGAGACTGAATGCATATCTTGCCTACAGAATGAATTGCGGTAGGTGCAGATACCTTGCGTCAGTGCTGTTATCTTCTAGGACAGGTGCGGCAGCGATTTACCGACCGCGGAAGGATGGAAAGCTTGGTGAGCATGGGACGCCAGGATCGATCCCATATTTATTGAAGGACACTTGTAAGCAATGCGTTATCACGCCCCTTGAAAACAAAGTATAAATTATAATCTTGAGACCATGAAGAGTTATTTTCTATGTGAAGCGCATTTCTATCGTTTACTTCACCTTCTTGTCCAACCAAACGGTGAAGAGTGATGCGTCCAAGCTCGAGAGTATGTTTTGTATGGGTGAAGTAACCTAAAACACTATATTTTTTCCTACACATTTTTATTTCTAAACTGGAAAACTGAATTCATCTTGTTCTTGGAACATCTGAAATTCACCCCGCCTACGGTGATCGCTGGCCTAGCAAGCCCGAGGATCCCGTCAATGGGCATGTAGAAGAAGGCGCCGCCTGCTTCCGTGACACTTACAAAGCTTTGATTTTCGATCGTTGCACCTGTAAGGGCATTATGAACGAGTACTTTTTCGTTTTTGCACTGCTGAACTGGAAAGCCAAACTGACGGAAACACGAAAATAAACTAGTGTTGTGTGGATTTGAAATTAAAGCATTCAGTACGGCGGTACCTAACGTTTACCGCCTTATCGTGACTTCGAAGTTTTCCTGGGTGTCAAGCTGCGATGTACAGCGGGGATTCATCCCCCTAGCAAGGTCTCCCACACTGAGAAAAAGTTCGGCGTTTCCATCTGGAAACGTAGCTAAGAGTAAACCGATACCAGGATCCGCCATCGACCTGCATCAACTTAGTCGCGTGGTGGCAAATCCTACTCTGATCCACAAGAGCTGCGACTGCCTGTAGCGGTGACCTGAGACAGACTTTGGTCAGACTGACCTCGGGATTCTAGATACAATACAATCGCTAAGCCAGCAAATTTCCTAAAAAATAGAGATTTTGCTGGAGACTGCATAATCAGTGAGGATGGGCCATCCACTATCCAAGTATCCAGGTAAGTACGGCGATAGAACGAAGATCATAAGGGATGGTCTCAAACAGACAAGGAACTCATTATTTCTATTGGTTGATCAAATGTTAAGAAAGGGTTATTGTTAGAATTTCAGTTTACTCAAGTACTAAGTTCCAATATTATTATATTCATACATTTGATTTCATTCAGGTGATGCAAAATATCTAGATTGTTACCGGCAAATGAGACGACGTCTCTTCCAATGGGTCCACTGAAGGAGCCAGCTCCATATCGAAGACCAACATAATTGCGCTGTCTAGTGAATGTTGACGAACTCTTTGTGTTAAATCTGCGCCTAGTAAAACCACTACCAGGAACACCTATGCAGCTAATTGACCTGCAGGTGGTGTCGAATACACATAGGTTGGCCGAGCCGGTGTCCATTACCAGAGACATAACTTGACCTAAAGTTAAACGTATTGCATAACATTGATTAGCTCCCATAAGACTAACCGTTGTTGCTTAGAATAGGATTGACAGAAATTGTTTTACAACCATCGATTGTTTATTTCATTTTGTAGTTTACCTGGAACCCAGTGAAAGAAATGGGCTAAGGAATGCCTAGTGTAAAATGTCTAGAAGATTTCTATGGAAAAAAAAGGAAAAAAAGTAGGAAAATTACTAAATTTCCGAGAGTTGCTTTTTTTAGGATATATTTGAAAATGATGCAATATCGATTGTGTTTTAACTCCCAGTCATTCCTGATTTTTTGCTGCTTTAAACGTGTAGTTTTCGACTTAGGAAATAAGAGCCAAACCTTTTTTGAATGTAACAGAGCTCGGTTATTTAGTTTTTTTCTCTCTCTTTCTCTCTCTCTCATCACGGAAGAGAGAAAAGCACTGAATACAATCAGCGACATAACATCTTTCTCTTTCACAACTCTGAAAGGGACAAACCAGTTAAGAACGTCTTCCTTCGAATATTTTGCAAAGCAGTGAGTTTCGGATAGTCAATTTTTCTTAATGTGTTTTCTAAAACTGCATATCACCTGCATCACCTGTAGACCCGTTGATCGTCGAGTGACTCGAGCGAGCGCCAATAAATCTTCCATTTTTCCTTTCGCGTTCCAGAGTAGCCCAGTGGGTTCTGCTCGCTCTAGGGACTCGTTGAGCATCATATCTTTCTTCTAGGCATTTCGTGAAGAACGCCGACCATCGGGTCGATGGTCTTCCTGCAGTGTGTTTAACATCCCCAGGAATCCAGTCACTCATGGCTCTTGTCCATCGGTTGTCATTTACACCTATTACGTGTCCGGCCAACCTCATCTTCGACTGTTTGGCGTACAGAACGGCACCTTGATTTTTGATCGCTGACATAGGTCGGAGCCTTGGATTCTTAGCGTTACTTGCGTGACACGAGATATTCCTAGCAACGTCATTTCGACTGCGTGTTCAATAACGCTGATTTTTCATCCTGTTTGCGCAGCGACCAGGTTTCTGACGCAAAGCAGTAATGTCAAATATTTTCTTGGCAACTCTTTCGGTACGTTGGAATCTGGCGATTGCATTCTTGAGAATATTCTTTTCAAATGCCCGTTCTATAAAAGGAGGCATTGCTTTGCTCTTGACAAGAAAATATTTGACGAATTTCCCAAAAACGTTTTATTAGTTCGCATAAAAGAACGTCTACATGGGAAAGTTAAAATTCGTCAAAACGCTCCTTTAGGTACGCATAGGGCGCAAAAGCACAACGGCGATGGTTTTGAAAAGACTGTGCGGATCCTAGCACAGGAATCAAAAACATCAACGCGAAAAACTCTTGAGGCGTTTTGGATAAATTTCAAAAATCCAAAGATGAACCGGAAAGACGAATGCCTCACTATCACACGTGACCTGGCGCCCTATTTCAAAATGATATTTTGACCCCGGGGCGTGTCTTGCTCGCGACTCCACGTGAACTACGTGTGGGCCAGTCCCGCACGTAACATCACGGTGAGTGGCCTTTCTGTTCAATATGGCGTCTATTTGAAAGTTTGATCTTCATTAATACCTTAACCTTCTTTTCCACCGAATAATAAAAAGTATTCTAACATAAAGTACGTCCAGGCTCTGAGGAAGGCGAAGTCGCCGAAACGTCAGCCATCGATCAATAACATCAAAAACAACAACGACAACGAAGATCTGTACCAACCTCGCGTCAGCTTAAGAAGATCAGTTTATAAGATCTCATAAATAAATATATCAACTATTTATGCCGAGGTTCATAGAAAGTCGGTCTTTCGAGTTATAAAGTATTCTTATATAAAATACGTCCAGGCTCTGAGAAAGGCGAAATCGCCGAGACCTCAGCAATCGACCAACAGGAACAACAGCAACAACAACAACAACGACGACAACGGAGACCTATATCAACCTCGCATCAGCTTAGGAAGGTCAGTTTATAAGATTATATAAATAAATATATCAACTCGTATGAAGTGCTGAGATATTTGCAAAACTCCGGACCACAGGTGTATGCAGTGGGGAACGAACACGTTCAATCCCGTTGACGGGTGATTACTGATGGCAAAAAGATCGATAGAACTAGAATGAGATAGATGCAAAGCGAAGGACCCGGATGGTGTAGTGGTGAAGTGCGCTGCTCCCCGGTAAGGACAACAGCGCGTGTTCGTTTCCCACTGCATACACCTGTGGTCCGCAGTTTTGCAAATATCTCAGCACTTCATACGAGTTATATTTCACAACATACTCTGCCATTAAGAAGAAAAAGGCAGTAAATAAAAGAGTTAAGATTGTAAATATATCAACGTTTTATTAGTGTTAAACCAGTAACCTGGCGTTCCTATCGTAACGTTTCCGAGATAAAGATCATCGTAGTAGTCGAGGAATGCCACCAAGCGCTTCGTAGGTCCTTGAAAATAAAGAGGATTCCTCGTCAATGGATAGTTCCGCTTGGGTTCATCGCTAAATATTTCTACGATTTTTTACTTTGTTCCAACGGGTTAAAGATTTAGAAGTGGGAACTTTACACTAATATTTAACGTGTGTAGGGTCTTATGTGGAAACTTCACTGTGCAATAAATCGCAGGTTACGATCTGAGGACCTGATGTTTCAAACTACAAAGATCATGGCGACGTCATTAGAGCGACCAAGACAATGAGAGCAAAGGATGCTGTGCTAGTAATAATGAAAAAAGCTGATTCTCAATATGAAAGAAGAAAGGTGTAAATTTGGTGTCTTAGTGAACAATAGGCTTTTTGAAATTTTTAAAGCATAATATCCTTTCGGACAAATGAGACTATCACAAGGAGCGAAGAAATGTAACTGACCACATCTTCATAAATGGAGTGCTTTGTTACAACTGTTTTCCTCCTGGTGTTCTGATATTTTATATGGTATCGAACAGTCGCCTACTTCACTCAAACTTTGGTTTTCTTGAAAAATTAAGAGAGCTGCAAAATTCAACGAACTAAAGCACCAGGCCAATATGATGACAAGATAGTTCACGGTTCGTAATAGCAAATAGGGTTCCCAGATTGACGTTAGCATTTGTTGGTTAAAGTCGATAGTGGGAGCTAGGATTTGTCTTTACGTTTTTTCCATATTCAGCTCTACTCGAGCTTTTTTTCTGGAAAATTGGCCAGCAAATTTGCTTATGGCTCTTACTTGCTCATACGGGCTCTTCGCGATCCGGTCGAGCGAAGAATCATCTTGTAAGTCTCAGCGTAAAGCGTCACCAAGAGCGTAAGGAAAACGAAGATACGCTTCATTACTGAAAGATGTTTTGTTAAACATAATTCACGTGCTCGGAACCCTTTGGATTATCCAGAAGTAGATGCTAAAAAGGATAAAGCTCGAGGCGTTGATTAATCTCTGAAGGATGCGCCATGCATTCGACTTCATTAAGCATCGTTTGGAAGTGATTGAATGCATATTTGACCTTAACAATGACTCGCGGTGGTCTACCAATGTGTCGAACCAGTGCTGCTATTATCCCAAACAAGTCTGGTACCAATTTGCCGAGCCCAGAGGCATGGGAGGCTTGGTAGGCTATTAAAGCGTAGAACGATACCTCGTGCGCTTTGCAAGGCGCCTCCGAACACTGCGCCACATGCGCCCTATCTAGAAGTAAAGAAGTCAGTTTGTTCTAGAACGACATCACACACTCCATTACCAAACACTGAGATGTTGCGACTTTTTTACATTCTTTTTTTACCAACATCGTTATTGTTTTCTTTCAGAAATCTGCAGCTACTTTTAGAGGAACGTTCTAATTACATTCAACATATTGGGTTAGAAACAAACCGCACTATGGATAACGATTGCGTGTAAAAGAAAAGCATGGAAATTATGGTGAGGTTGCACCACCACTAAAGAGCGGCCATCAAGTATTTAAGTCAGAAATGTTGAGATTTCTGCTAAGTTAATACGAGGAGGTTAAAGACTTCTATCTCGGGATATCAGTCGAAAACACGATTTCCTTCGGATCGATATCAAGTACAATTTAACTGAATTTTGCATGACTGGACTTACACCTCCAGGTGTTCTTTTAGATGAGACGGCTGTTGACATTACTAGAGAAAGGCATTACGCTCAACTCAGGTCAAAGCGATTCTTAAGATCATCGAAAGAGTATATATCCATTAGACATTTGTTTTAATTCTGTGCACCTCTTAAGAAGATGATGCCGTAAAAATACCGGCAAGTAAGAGTGAAAACATCGGATTGATATACGTAGATCTGAACATATTTTAAAGTCTATGAACGCAGTAGGGGCGGAGAAGTTTTGGTTCCCACCAGGTCTGCGTGGAAATCAGATTTTTTCATTGCTTCGAGTTCCATTTGAATTTGAAATATTGCAATAGACGGTTACAAATCACTTATTCATTAGGATCTTCCATTAAATGTCAATGAACATGCTAAAAAATGATAATGAGTTTAATGAATAGATATGAAAGCTGTCATTTTGCAGAGTGAGGCTTCTATGAGGTCCACTGAGGAGTTTATAGTTTTTTTTACACGTCCCGTTTCACACATCTACCATGCGGATTCCGGCACTTATTGCCCTCGGTTCGTTTCCTCACATCCGTCATTCACGATAGCGCTTCAACATTTTGAGTTTGGATTTGGCTGCTGCTTGCGGATATTCTTTTCGTCATGAATGTTGTTGAATGCTGGTCTATTCGATTCTTCCTGGAGTACTGAGATAGCCACGCTATAGAGTTTCCACTTGGATTGTAGAGAGTGAACTTTTCCGGAGAAGTCTGTACCAATTGAACGACAGCGGAAGAATAAAAGACCTGGTGAGCCTGGAGTAGGGCGGGACCAGCATCGGCGCTTATATGGAGTGTTTTCGCCAGTGTCGTTAATCCACAAGTTTGGTGGGTGCAGGAGATTGAGTCTGATCAATGTTACTAAAGGCAGCGCATGTAATTCTATGATGTTAGTTCTGTTACATGTATAA